CAAACTCCTTTCAAGTGCACATAGAATATTCATCAAAATAAGCCATATCCTGGGCCATAAACAAGTTTTAACACATTTCAGAAGACTAAAATCTTATGGAATATATTCTTTGACCACACCAGAATTAAATTAGAAATTAGCAGCAATAAGATATCTGGGAAAGCCCCAAATATTTGGAAATTAAATAACACACCTCTAAAAAACTCATGATATTCTGAAATAAGTTGAAAACATATGTCCACACAAAAACATGCACACGAATATTTATAGCTGTTTTATTCACACTTGCCAAAACCTGGAAGCATCCAAAATGTCCTTCAATAGGTGAGTGGATAAAGAAACACTGGTACATTCACACAATGGAATATTAGTCAGTGATAAAAAAAGAACTTTGAAGCCACAGAAAGATATGGAGGAATCTTAAAAGCATATTGCTAAGTGAAAAAAGCCAATCCAGAAAGGCTGTATGATTCCAACTAAAGGACATTCTGGAAAAGGTAAACTCACAGAGACTGTAAAAAGTTACCAGGGGTTTGGAAGGAGGTACGGATGAGTAAGTGAAACACAGGGGATTTTCAGAGCAGGGAAACTATTCTGTATGACACTGTAATGGATACATATCATTATATCTTTGTCAAAACCCACAGAATTGCAGGATGCCTGGGTGGCTCAGTCGGTTGGGTGTCTGCCTTCAGCTGGGGTCATGATCCCAGGAGACTTGAGACTTGAAATGCTCACGTACCACATCAGGCTCCTTGCTCAGCCAGGAGCCTGCTTCTCCCTCTGCCTGCCGCTCCCCCTGCTTGTGCTCGTTCTCTCTCTCTGACAGTAAATAAGATCTTAAAAAAAAACAACAACCCAAAACCCACAGAATTGTAGAACACAAAAAAGGAAACCTAGGGACGCCTGGCTCATTCAGTCAGGAGAGCATGCAACTCTTCATCCCATGTTGGGTGTAGAGATTATTTTTTAAAAAAAGATTTTTAAAAAGTGAAACCTAATGTAAATTGTGGATTTTAGTGAATAATGACATACCATTATTGGCCCATCAGTTGTAACAAATGTACCACGCTAATACAAGATATAAATAATGAAGGAAACTGTATGTTGAGGGGGGAAGGGAGTATGTGGGAACCCTTGGTACTTTCTCATCAATTTTTCTATAAACCTAAAACTGCTCTAAAAAAATTAAGATTTTTTTTTTAAAGACCCATGGCCAAACAATGTAGGTGAGCCAATGCCTTATAAGTTCACCATAGACCTAAACCTATACTTCCGATCTTCTGTCTTCCCATAACATCTCTAACAGAGATTTAGCTGCCTTGAAGGATTCTCTTTCTCAGCCAGGATGCCGAATATGGACGAGATCATGGAGAGAATCATGGGAATATCAGGCAAAACCGGTTGTCCTGGTTCGAAACCTGGTTTTCCCTCTTGCTCACGCAAGCATTCATTCCACAGCGTTTGAGCTTCTACCCTGAGCTGAGTTGTGGGCTGGGAACTGACAGTGTAATTGGCAACACGCCACAGCTCCTTCCCCCGAGGCAGTCCCAATCCAGAGGGAGAGAATGACAAGTAAACAAGCAGTGACATGGACAGTTCACCATGCTAAGTGTTACATGCACATTACATACATGTACATTCAGGGATCTGGGGGAGTCCCAGGGAAGAGTATCTAACCTTGCCCAGGTTTGGTCAAGTTAGACTTCCCTGCCAGAGGAGGTGACATAGAAGCCAACCCTCAAAATGAGGAGCAGCAGTTAAGAAGAAATGGAAATGCCTTCTGGGCTTGGTCAGAGATCTGGAAACAAAAAAGATGGGAGCCCACTGGAAAGCTGCAAGCTGGTCACTGTGGAATGTAAATAGAGAGTGTGTGTGTACGTGTGCACGCAAGTGTGTGTGTGTTGGGGGGGGAGTGGAGGATATAGAGGTGAAAATGGGCTGGAGAAGCAGGCAGTGACCAGTCAGACCCAAGCCTTTGACCATCTCAGGAGCGCCTACTCAGCCCAGCCAGACCCGAAAAGCCTGCTCCCAGGAGTCTGTGCCTAAGGCAGATGATGCGTCGTGGGGAGACTCACCAAGTCTCTTTTGAACACGTTTGGTAGAAGAAGCAATCCTATAATTATCGTGGTGATAATTAGAGGAACTTCCATTGCTTCTTTCAACAAACATTGCATAAAACCCTCTCACCTTCGGGGGCTGGGGGTGGGGAAGAAGCCAGGCATCCCTTGTGGGGGAAGCCAATGCCTGCATCTATCTCCTGCCAAGGACACCTGACTACCCAGCTGAGGCCCAGAGGTGCATCGATACACCTGGGATGGCTCCAGCTTGGAGCTGAGCCCTGCTGGCAGGGGGACTGAGAGTCACTCCCCAGGTTCCCCAGGCGGAGCAGACTCTAGCCAAGCCACAGGCTTCAGATTTATTTCAGTCTGGCCTGCAGAGATCCTGCCCAGGACCTTGGACGTGCCTTCTACATCTTGGCAACCTTGGCCTGAGATCTCAAGCCGCTAATTCTGGGCTCACGCTCCATCTTCCTAGGACCACATACACAGGGTCTCTGTGGCCTGGACATGCTGCTAGCCCTGTCACACGCTTTGGTTTCTTATACAATCTGCATTCACATGTTTACCCAAGAGACAACTTGAGAGCCTCTGGTTTCGATGGAGAGAAGAAAACTTCTCATTTCTGACCCCATACCTTCACCCCAAACTCTTCTCCCACCTTTCTTCTTCTCCCTCCTTTTTCCACCATATTTTTCTCAGTGCAAAGAATGGTCCCATTGCTTCTGGGAAGGCCTCGACTTTCTTTCGTCGGCACCTCGTGTCCCATCCACCTGATACCAACTTTTCACTTGGCTTTGCCGTTAATGACTCACTGGGAGCTAGAAGCGAAATGAATTGCCCAAAGGTTCTGTGTCTCTTTTTGTCTCATTAGTGACATGTCTGGTCTGTTTTGTTCTTAGATTTCCAGACAAGAAGCTTCTGCACCTCTCAAAGCCACTTATACCAATGGCTTCTGGCCTTTCCCCGAGGGGCCTGGAGCCTCACTCATGCTCCTTTGAGATTCAGAATGACTGTGTGTCACATTCAAGGGGATATTGGCGTTCTGTAAAACACCTGGCAAAGCTGTAACAGCTAAATGAACAGCAAGAATTTAGGCTCTCTGCCTTCCTATCTCCCCATGATATCCCTTCATCCAGTGCTATTTATGGCTGGGCAGATATTTGCAAGCTGGTATCTTTCTGTCAATGGTCAGAGGAAGGACACCTGGTGGTCTCGTATTTTCTTAGGGCCCTGCCTCAAACCTTGGGACTTTGATCTTATCAGCAGGCCCTTTCCCAGGCCTCTCTAGTGGAGCTTCAGGAAACATGTTGAACCTGACTTGTCCTGGCAGCTGGCAGTGGAGGAAGGAGGAAGAAGGAGAGATTGCTCCTGAAGGAAAAGTGTACTTGGCTTTCTCATTAATGGGTTCCCCTTGGGGAACAGGCAAGCAGCAGATGCATGGGCAATGGCCAACTGATCCATTTGGAGATAGATTCAGGGTGTGGTGTTCCCTGTAAGCCTGGGCAGGCCCTGGGAAACTGGAGCAGAGCTAGATCACGGCCTGAAATTGGGCAAGCTGCAGAGGAGCTTGAATATGCTGGTTTCAGGTGTGCGAGCTTTGCTCCTGTTGGAGACTGGGGCCCTGGGGGCTAGTGTGTCTGTTGCCCAAGCATGCTTCTCAAACCTGGAGCTCCACTGATCATTTTCGTTCATGAACACATTAACCGGCAAGGAGGCTTAGCTCAGCCCTTCAGAACCTGGCTTCAGTGCACCTTATCAGTCCCTTCTTTCAATACTCCCCAACACAAATCATCTATCCCACTCCTGGATCCAAGTTCACTCCAAGCCTTCACATCTTTGGGCCTTGCCTCACGCCGTTCTCTCTTCATAGAATGCCTTTTCTCCTAGTAAGCCACTCCTGGAGAAGCATCCCCCAATGCCCAGAGGCTCAATACTTCTCTCCTCTCCTCCTATGCCCCAGATTCACTCTGTTGGTCGCTGATCTAGCTCTATTATGTTTACTTTGTGCCTGCCTCCAGGCATGCTGATGGGCAGTTCCCTGAGCTTTTTGCTCCTGCATGACCAGCTCCTTCTCAACCTTCAGGTGTCAACTCAAACGTCATCTCCTCAGCTAGACCTTCCTTGACCAACTTATCTAAAGGTAACCTCCATCCATACACACTCTGTCCCATTACCTGGATTTATCGTCTTCATGAAACGTAGCATCCGGAATTATCTTCACCTATATGTCGCCTGGGCTATGTCTCTTCCTCTAGAATGTAAGCTCTTGAAGGGCAGAGATCCAGCAGAATCAGTTGATACATGGTTGGTGCCCAATAAATATCTGTTGATTGATTAAATGAAGGCAAGTATGGGGTATTCGAGTTGTCACCCTGAGAACCTGGCACAGAGCCTGGCGCAACAAAGGTTGGCTGCATGGAACATTTGCTACACGAATGAATGAACCAACGAACAAACGAACCAAGGGATGCAGTGCTCCGACTGCGGACTGACAGGTTGATTGACACTTGGGGGACCCTCGGCCCGCGCACTGTTGATTGACGGCTGACAGCTGAGTGGCAGCCAGCGGACGCGCATCGGGGCTCCTGATTGGCTGGCGGCTGCAGCCCCTTAAAGGGGAAGGGGAGGGGGCCTGAGGCTACCGCTCCGCGTGGGGAGGAGGCGGCACCAAGCGACAGGAGGCGGCCCAACCGCCAGAAGCTGGGTGAGCAACAGTCGCCTCGAACCAGCGAACCGACGTCTAGCGCAAGGGCCCGGCGCGAGGGGCGGGGCGCGCGCGTCACGTGAGCGTGTTTTGGGCACGTGACCCGCGCGGGGCCAAGACTGGCCCCCGCCCCCTCCTCTCCTCCCCTCAGCGGGTGTGAGCCGAGCAGCCTCGCCTCACCGCCTAGCGCCCCCCTCAGCCGCCGCCGCCTCCGCCCGCCGGCCATGTCCCTCGGCCGCCGCCGCCGCCGCCGCTCCAACGCGGCGCTCCCGCGGCCCAGCGCGCAGTGAGCGCGGGGCCCTCTCGCCGCTCGCCCGCCCCGGGGCCCCCTTGTTCTCAGCGCCGCCGCCGCCGCCGCCGCCATGTTGGGTTTAGAGCCGCAGCGGAGCCGCCGCCGCCGCCGCCGGTGAGGGAGGCCGAGAGCGGAGCCCGCCCCGCCCCGGGGCCCAGGGAGCGGGCAGCCTCGGAGCCCGGCCTCTCCCCGCCAGCCGCCTTCCCGGCCCGCCCGCCGTGCGAGCCAGCGAGCGAGCGCCGGGCCGCGGCCGCGCCTTCCGCTCCCGGCCCGAGCGAGCCCGCCGCCCGTTCGTTCCCCCGCCGCCGCCGCCGGGCCCGGCCAGAGCCTGCAGCGGAGCCCACGAGAGTCAGCGCCATGGCGGAGCAGACCTACTCGTGGTGAGTGCGGAGCTTGGGAGGCCGGGGCGCCGCGCAGGTGGGGGTCGGGGCGCCGGCGCGGCCCGGGGGGGGGAGGGGGAGGAGGAGGAGGAGGAACAGGTGCGCGTTGGTGGGGGGGCGGGAGTTGGGGGTGCACGCCCCCCTCGTCCCCACCAGAGGGGGCGGCTGGCGCTCGTGGAAGGCGGTCAGTGGCCGGGGACCCGGAGTCCAAGACGGGGGATGGAGGCGGCGGCCGCGGCCGCGGCAGATGTCACCTGGTCATGGGCGGAGCAGGTGATGGAGAAGGGGAGCATGACCCCAAAGGTGGAAGCCCACGGATGGGAAGTTGAATCTCGTGGGCACCCCGGGACTGATTTGCGGGGGTGGTTCCTGGACAGGAGGGTTGGAAGGGTGGGCAGAGGCGGGCCGGGGCAAGGGTCGGCCACTGGGCTGCGAGGAAGCTGGTGGGAAAAACAGGTGATAAGAGGCTGAACTTGGAAGTTGTGAAAGAGGAGGAGCCGTCTAACTGGAGCTGCTGCTTGGCACCTGGCTGGCGAGTGAAGGGAGAGTTGGTGGGGTGGGCAGAGGCCCGGGTGTGACCGAAGGAAAACCGCGGAAGAAGGGAGCGTCTTGGGAACCATGGAGGGGAGTCCCTTGTGAAGAGGTTGGAAGGGGATCCTGTTTGGATAACCACGTTCTGGAGAGGAAGTCGTTGGTGGCAGTGGGGCATGAGCAGAATCTTTGTGAGGGTTGGGACTCTTCTTCAGAATTTAAAGTGGCCTGCTGCCCTGGATCAGGTATGGAGATGTAAGATCTGCAAGTTATGTCCATTTTTGTGGGACTTCCAAAGTTATTAAATAGCTTGTTAAGGACTGAGAAGTGTGCTGTGTAGTTCATGGAGGGAGAACTTACGTATCCTGAGAAGGAAGTGCAGTGTTTGGGGAGAGGGCTGTGAGAGGCTTCCCTTTAGCATGTGGAGGTGGAATATTTCCAGGAGGGGTTGAAGGAATGATGATAGTTTCCTTGAAGAGTAGAAATTGGGTAGTGGGGAGGAAGTAATAACCGGGGGGTGAGGAAGGAAGAAATGGGATGGTAGGTGTGGGATTGCAATCTAGTTGCAATCTAGAGAGATTGAAGATGGTTTACTCTTTGAAGCAAACGTGGTTTGAGACAGAATTGTACTGCTTTCCCTTGTTAGAAAAGAGAATAATTGAGTGGGAAGAGCATGGCTTTTGGAGTTGGCAGGCTTTGTTTGGAAGTCCTGTTCACCACTGACTTTGTAACTGGGCAAGATAGTAAGTTCTCCATTCCCTTTCCCTTACCTATTAAATAGGGGAATTGCCCTTTTTTCATAGGTTGTAAAAGAATAACTTTACAAAGCACATGGTAAACTGTAAAGTGTTGCTTTTTATTACATTATAGTTAGGGGAACAGCAAAGAAATGGGTGATATGTGAGTTAGGGGAACAGCAAAAAAATGGGTAATATGTGAAAATAAAGAATGGTTTTAGGTAAAGGGCTTTAATGGAGTGGATGCTTTGTGGTGGTTTAGGTTATGATAGGTAAGTGAGGAACTCATTGTGTCTTCCCATATGGAAAGAGGATTGGTGATGGAAGATCATAATTCAAAAGGGAACTTCAGTGCTCAAAAAGAAGATAAGTGTGAGAGTCTGAAAAAAGGTAACACTAAAAGAAGAATTAAAACATTGGTGAACAGTTGTGACTGCAAGTGTATTTTTAAAAGTGTTAACTAATTGGATAGTTTTGAGCAACAGTGAGCTGCCTCTCCTTAGCAGGTAATATGGAACACAAGATTTGAGCTTTCTTATGCACATATCCATAACTAACTTAACTAACTCATCTTGAGCTCTTAACACTGACTGCCCCAGCTGAGAGTCCTGATGGCTGCCCTTGTGCTTTTACTGTGCCATATAGAGACTGTGGATGGTTGAAGGAGTAGACAGACACTGGCCAAGAAGTGGGGAAAATGAGAGGGTTTTACTAGTTAGTTTGGCCACACACTATCCATACGTGATGTTGGATGGCTCTGTTAGTTAAGGTGGGACTACTTTGTGAAGTTTGGTAGGTTATAGTATTTATCCTACTGAAATACTTCAATCTCAGCTCCTTTTGCTAGAGAAGCTCCTTGAAATCAGAATGCTTACTAGGCTCTCACCTTTAGCAGGTTTTGAGATGGAGAAAGTTTTTGCATCATCTTGAGAGAGGGAGGTGTATGAGGAGAGAGGATTGGGAAACCAGGCAGCTTTCTAGGTTCTGATAGTTACCGTAGGTAATTATCCATGTAAGGTACAGGTTTAATTCCCACCCTTCCCTGAGGTAGGTGATCATTCTCTGTTTTATGGAGGAGGAAACTTAGGCTCAGGAGGCCAAGTGATTTGTCCAAGATACTTCACCTGTGTTGCTTTATTTTGTTTTGACACAAATTCTCTCATCATTGTTTTCATTCTCCTTGTAATATAAGTGTGGACAAAGGTATTCCAGAAGTACATGTGAACTGAGCTTTGGATTATCTCTCATTTTTCAATATCTTTGTCACTGTTCCTTTGGTTTGTGTAAATAGGAGTTGTTTTTTTTTTTTTTTTTTAACAGACTTGTACTTCGTTTGTATGTTGCCTTTAGAAAATCAGCCTTGTGGGGACTGTTATGACAGTCTGAGGTATTGTCTGAGGATCGAGTCGATCGAGTCAGTGAAGAATATAAAAGTAGACGTCAGAAGGATGAAAATAGGTTCCTTAGAATTTTCTTTTCTCTCTCTCTCTCTCCTTTTTTTTAAAGATTTTATTTTTAAGAATCTCTGCACCCAACATGGGGCTCGAACCCACAACCCTGAGATCAAGAGTCACAAGCTCCACCGACTGAGCCAGCCAGGTGCCCCAGGATTTTCATATAATAAGATATGTAAATTCTAAAGCAAGATTGGCCGTGAGGTGGTAATTGTTGAAGCTTAGTGATGAGTACTTGGAGGTTTATTCTGTATACTTTGACATGTTTACATTTTTCATAATAAAAAGTTAATTAAAAAAACTTCTACACATGCTGTTCATGCTGTTTTCTGGTTTCTTGTGCTTGCTTTCTGTGTTGGGAAGCCAGAGTGGGTGTACTGAGTTAAGAATATGTAGGTTATGACCTGATGAATGAGGGGGCACAAGCCACCCAGGTAGTTGGCAGGTAGCTCTCTCAGCATCCAAGTTCCCACTTTGGGGAAGTGAAATCCCAAGGGGTTACTTCAGTTGAAGGTGCAGTTTCAGTATACCCATACAGTGGAAGTACAGTAGTCCCCCGTTATCTGTGGGGTTTACATGCCAGGATATCAGTGGATGCCTGAGATTGAGGGTAGTACCAAACCCTATATATACTATGTTTTTTCTATATGTACATGCCTGTGATACAGTTGAAATTAGAAATTAGGCCTTGTAAGAGATTAACAACAAATAAAACAATTATAACAACATACTGTAATAAAAGTTATGTGAATGTGGTCTCTCTCAAAGTATCTTCATATACTATATTCACCCTTCTTGTAATGATATGAGATGATAAAATGCTTATGTGACGAGCTGAAGTGAGATGAATGACCTAGGCATTGTGATGTAGCATTAGGCTACTATTGTAACCTTATGACCGTACATGAGGAAGAGAATCATCTGCTTCCAGACTGTGGTTGACCCTGGTAACTGAAACCATGGGGCCCGGTGAGCCAGGGAAAGGGCAGTGCTCTGTCCCAGGTCATGAACAGGAGATACAGACTAGGATGGCAAACACCTATTACTTATAAGGTGATTGGTGTGGAGGTCCGTAATTTGGGGGGCTTACCTCTAGTGGTTATTTTTAAAGGTGCCCGGGGAAAAGCAAAGCAGGGACTTGTGGTGGGCATCCTAAACTCAAATCCTTATCTAAATGTCCAGACTCTGGGTGTGATTACAGGTATCATACTGTAAAATGGCTAGGCAGCAGCTCTGAAAAACAAAGCTCTTGTCCTCGAAAGTTGTTTCCCTCATCACATTTTCTTTCTAGCAAATTCTGTCACAATCCCATTATCCAAGGGTTCACCTGAAATTCCACGTAGCTGGGAAGGATTTTCTGATCACCCCAACTGAAAGTGATCTCTTTGTTGTTGATTCTTGTAGTCGTCTGCATCTTTCTTTCCTTTACGTGTGTGAATATCTAGCTTCTTCATTAGATTGTAAACTCCTTGAGGGTAAGGACACTGTTACACTACCCTTTGTCCTCCCATATACTTAGCACATTGTCTTGCCCATAGCTTCTACTTAGAATACGTTGATTGAATATGATAAATTTTCAGGGTGGTTCATCCTTTGTTGAAAAAACATTTTAAATGTAAAGGAAAGCTACAGATAGGTGAGTGTTTATTATAATCCTTATAAAAGAGAGCTTTTGGTAATTTAGTTTCCTAATGTCACAGTGCCGTAAGAATGAGAATCCCATCCTTAATAAAGTTTTAAATAAAAGCTATTGACAGATGAAATTGAAATAATTGGTAGTAACACCACAATCTTTATCATGATGTAACCACAAGATTCAGCTTTGTAGACTTTTTGCTTGTGTACCGAGGAAGTAAAAGAACGCCTGTGAAAACACAAATAGAAGGTGCAAACTAGATTTTTTTATTAATTTGAGGAAAACACCTTGCTCGATATATATTTATGAGCAGTTGTTTTAGCATAAGTTCTGTGGGAAACATGACTTGTCTCTCTTTTTAAATTTTTTTAGGAACTTCTCTCTTGATGGAGTCAATGCAGTGTTTGAATCTTGGTGGTAAAAATGACTTATGTTAGGGTTAATGTTGGTGTAGAGGGAAAAGGAAATAAATACATGTGAACTTCATCGGGATGAATTTTGTTACCAAAGTAGTATCATAATATTTTATTGTGTGTTTTCTGGGTGCTAGGGCTTTAAAGCATTGATAAGTAAGGAAACAGGCTCAAAGGATTGAAGTAACTTGCCAAATAACATGTAAATGGTAAAAGGGCTCAAAGTCAA